CTGAGGGCGCTACGGCCTCCAGGGTGCCTTTTGATCCCCCGCAATGATCCTGGGAATCACGTGGTGCCGCCTCGCACCTGAACCTGCTTGCAGTTGTTTTTATTACTTTTCCCTCATTAGGTTGATATCGGCGCCCGGTGGGTCTGAAATCCGAGGGTTGTTATAGGCACCACCCCGCCCCCGGAAAGGGGAAGTGGGTGATGCCGTGGTGTGGGTTAGAAATGGGAAAAGCAACTTAATGTCAAAATGTTAGCTCATTTTTGAGCTGGGTTCTGCCCTTCCTCGTCACCGCACAACATCCCTCCTCACCCAGTTAGCACCAGAAGCCTCCCAGAAACCCCAAGCCACCACAGAGTGTGGTTTATTCCGCTCCTGACACATGAGATAAGGAGGAACAGAAGTCCTTTGACAAGCTGAAGCTGGTTTTAAGTCACTGTTTTCAGCTGTTATTGGCTTACGCTATTTTTTAAGTTGTTTAAATCTCTCAGGTTTTGCTCCCTCTCCCCCTGAGGATGAATAACCTCGGGGATGTTGTGGAGGGACAGATGCACATCCTGCTCTTTCATATCCCTGAAAAAGTCACAACTGACCATGTTCCGTGGGATGGCAGGAGATGCATATGGATCTGTCAGACTGGTTTGCTGAAAATAATAATGGGGGAAAACATGAAGAACCGTGTCATTTCTGTGATTTTGTGATATTCTGGAGCCACTGGAACGAGCACCAGAACCACAAACTAAATCAAGTCACCCAAACTTCCCTGAAGCTGTCCCTTCCATGCCTCATCTCTGCTCCAGATTGCCCCCTTTCCGTACATTCTTAACCTTTAACTGAGCTATTATTCTTCAATAAAAATGTTCCTTTATTATAGGTGTCATTCCTTTCTGTAAGGAAAAGTCTTTTTGTAAACCTCGTTCGGTTTCTGGATTTGCATTTTTCATCGCTGTGTTAATTTAAAAAGTTTATCCCTTGCTGGTTGCTGGTGTATTACAGACACAAAACCATTGCAAAATGATAGATATAAAATAAGAGTGTAAAATTCTGCTGTTATTTTTTATTTGTTTATTTGAAAGGGCTTAATTTCTAGCCTGGTTTCCTGAAGGAAATGTAGCTCATGCCCTCTTGTCCATCTCTTCAATCGTCTGTCCATCTCCTTTTCTCTCCAAAGCATGCTCTGAATCCATAGGCTGGTTAACTGTGGAGATATCTGGATATTCCTCTATCTTTGCTCCAGTTTAGATACCAGAAAATTATTTTTAACAAACAAACAATAACAAAACAAAACCCAACCAAACAAAAAACAAACAAAAACAAAACAAAACCAAACCCAAAGCAATTCCACTATTCAGTTTAGCTGTTGTGCAGGGGACTCGGGGACTTAGTGCCACTCCAGCAGCCTAAGCCTTTATGGCACTGAGCATCACATTTATGCTCCTTATTCCCTGCTTGTGAATCCAGTGCTTTTTAAATAAATACAAAACCCAGTGCTGTCTCAACCCCTACTCCATCAGCCCTTCCCATCCTCCCTAGACTGCACAAAATACAAAGTGTTAGAGGACTTGACAGTGATTAAGGAGCATGAGAGTGCCCAGGGAGATTAAAGTGTACAATGATATCTTAATACTCCATTTCTTACTGCTCAGCAGGAGCCAATGCCTTGGGTTTGCCAGAGAAACATTTTGCAAAAGGTCTTCTGTTAAAATTTCCTTCTCTTTTTAAATATATGGAGCGAAGGAAGGAGATGGGATGCAGAACGTGTGGATGGGAGATAGGGCCCCCACCCATTCCAGCCTCTCAGCTTCACCATTCCCACTCAGAAGACAGGAATTTATTTGCTCTCCTGTTCTTATGACTACTAAGGCAACCTAAAACTTTAGTCCTCAGCTGTGTTTCTGCAGCAAAAACCTCAGCTAATTATGCTTTTGCAACTGAAAGCTGCCCCTTTTTCCTAATCCCATGGAATTTACAGGATTTTTCTTCCCAGTTCTTGACAAATTAATTTCCAAAAGCCTGCAGACTTCTGCAGGGACCCTGTTGGGAGCTGGTGTAATGTGACATCAACTCTTTGCAGTGACACGTGCTGCCAAAATCCTCCTGCCCTATGACAGCTTGGAGGGAATTGATGTTCAGGGATTCCACAGACATCACTCAGGTGCTCAGGAGATTGTTTATTTTTAAGAAAAGGTGTTCTCAGGTCGTCCTAGAAATAAAACCAAGGAAATCAGCCTAATTGGGCAGGGAAGAAGTCAGAGAAAGAACTAGAGACCAGCCTGTGGGACAGGGAATCCCTGGGATCAGAAAGGTTTCCTCAGTGGCTCTGGGTAAATGTTTAATCCTATTTAGTTCCAATGTGGGAATAACAATAATCATCCTCTGCCTGCTTTCCTTGGGCAGGCTGGAGTTTATTTGGATCAGGAACTGCCTTTTCTCACAGTTCTCACTGGGATCACTAATCCTAGAAAATATTGAGCTTCCAGGAAACAGGGACATTGAATCCCAGAATGGTTTGGGTGGGAAGGGACCTTAAAGATCATCCAGTCCCACCCCCTGCCATGGTCAGGGACACCTTCCACTAGCCCAGGTTGCTCCAAGCCCCATCCAACCATCCTGGCCTTGGACACTCCCAGGGATGGGGCAGCCGCAGAGTCTCTGGACAACTTTCCATGAGTGAGGAGGGAGAGGGAGCACAGGCATTTTCACTGGCACCCCCACGTACACAAAGATGCTCACAGGAGGAATTATACAATATCTCTATGTGTGTGTATATATATCTATATATAGTTTATTTCTCACAATCCTGGTAAGAGTTACAGGTGTATTTGGGAATCATTTACAGTTTCACAGCATATGGAGTGACCATACAGCTTGTGATGTGAGTAACATACAGTGTGTAGAGAGCACACGTTTCCGACCCATCCACCCACCACTCACACAATGGGTTTCCAAAGCTAATACTAGATTCAGCTACGGAGAAAGCCTGGAAAATGTTAGGGTACAGCGTTGGGTGTCATACAACACTGTCAGTCACAATGGGACAAGCTAAACTACTTTAAATTTTCAATCTAGTATTTCTAGTCTACCTGCATTATTGCATTTATACGCTTTTTTTGTTTTTTTAAAGTCAAAGTAAATAGAATACTATATGGGAAAGGAAAAAATTCTTGACTATTTTAGGATTTGAGCTGCAGCCCATACAAAGTGTCCATAGAAGCATAGACAAGATTATAAATTCGACAAGGTATAAATTAGCTGGATAGCTTTGTGTGTAGGTAGGTGTCCATTTCCCTCCAGGAAATGTGTCCAGCAGCATATTGTTTCCGAGAGCAAAAAAAAAACAAAAACAACCCAAACCTGTATGTTGAACACAGGCAAATACGTGTAAGTGACAAGCAGGTCTGTTTGCACAGGGAAGAAACCAAGGTGTCACTCGGAAAGCTCCTATCATTTGGAAAACACGCTCAGGAGCTGACTCAAACCCCACCAAAGTCCTCAGAAAGATGCCTGAGGCTTCCAAAGGAGCAGCAGGCATTTCCCTGCTCCCAGCATTTGAGCCTTCAATCTGACTTCCAAGGGCTTTGGATCAGTCCCTGGAGAAGTAGCAGAATCCGAACAAAGCAAAAGCAAAGTCAAAAAATCCCCTGTAATCTGACCTTCAAGTTCCCTTCCTACAATTTTTCTGCACAAATTTATAGGCAACCTGCACCTACCACCGGAAGAGAGTTGGTTTCCTGGGGAGCTGAAACTGCAACTTTTAAAGGCTTCAGTTGAAATGGTCCTGGGGAAAGGCACCAGGCTGCTCAAAACTTAGTGAAGCCAAATTATTCCCCTGTTGGTTTGTTCATTTGTTGTTTTATAACATGACAAGATTGTGTGGCACCCTTGTTCTCATCAATTTGCCCCAGAAACTTGGCTGCTTGAAGCTGTTGAGGCAAAACCAGGGATATGATGCAGGACTTAACTGTTGCAAAGGTGATTAAAGATTCCTCTTGTCCTGGTGGGAGCTTTGGTACTGCAACATCATCACACAGACAGCAATAACCTGTAAATTCATGCTCGAGGTGCTGCACTGGGGCTGAGAACTGGAAAAATAATGGAATTGCTTGTCATTTGCAAGCTGGGAGCAACCAGAAGAGAAACAGGAACAACAGGTTCCAAAGCTCATGTAAGCCAAGTTATGTTTTTCAGCAGAAAAAAAAAAATCTATTTAATTTGAAGATCATCAAAGAGCAGGGGGGGCACGAGTCCCAAAGTACCGCTGTCCAAAGGAGTGAGCAGAGTTCTATCACAAGGTAGATGCAAAGTCATTTGGAAATCCAATGGCTCTGATCTCTCACGAGACTTTGAGGCTTTGGGCACGAGTTTATTATGGTGAACTGAATGAAGTGTGAATTTTCAAGGCCCAGCGGTCCCGCAGTGCTGTGTCACACAGTAACACCAGAGCAGCCCATCCAAATGGGAAAATCCTCGACCCTGGCACACCACCTGATCCTTCCAGGCCAGCAGAAATGCAGGTCCTTGGCTTCGGGCTCTCTCCTCCCCACGTGTTTTTGGTGCTCCAGAGGACTGAAGGAGCACTGGCTCCAGCCGAGGGCAGCGCGTGTTCACACTGTGTCAGCACCTCCCGAGCAGCCCCAACACCTCACACCTGACTGACAGCTCAGGACAAGGAAGGGACCTTCCTGTGGGTTTGTCATCCAGTACAAATCCCGTGGTAGACTGAGACCCTCACGGATCAGGGCACACAGAAACTTCATACGTTCCCTGCTGTGCCGCACAGTCTGGGGGCCGAGCACTGCTCGTCTGTTTTGGGACCACCTAAAATGGGCCTCATCAAGAAAATGCATCTTGCCCACCCCTATGGATATCTCCCGGCTTCGTGGTGAAGGGAATGAGACCACAGCGAGATGCTACACAGCTCAGGAAGGGAATCATCATCCCTGCTCCATCAGGAAGGCAGGGACTAAGAGGATGGAAGTGCGAGCGGGTTGGATTTTCAGCCCTTGCCATAGCAAAGCACGTGAAAAGAGAACACAGCCCCTCGAAGTGTCCTGGCAATTCCCCTCAATCACACAAAGCTGGCTGTAGAAAACTTCAGGTGTTTTTCTAACCCATTAACATTGCACAGGACCAGCAGGAAAAATTCATCTGGAAAGGGCAATTAGCAGAGGTTAATTTGCACGGTGTCAGAACTGGTCGGTTTTGCTTTTTGCCAAGAAAAAAAAAGAAATGAATAGGTTATAAAAGTTAACATGTCCTTACCAAAACTGTTAAGATAATTAAATAGTGCTTTTTTCTCTCCACTTCTCTGCTCTGTTCTTTGCACACTCTCAGAGTCTTCACTGACTTGAAGCTTTCCGAGGAGCTGATTGAAATTCCAGGAATTTCACCTTTCAAATCCATTTTTTCATTGCCTTCCTTTTTTGGTTCGTTTGTCAAAGCATCATTTTCCTCTCCAGTCTTTGACACTGTTATTTTCAACCAATTCTAAGAATAGCTAAAAGGCTGCTGAATTCCAAACCCCAGTAGCATTTCCAGGAAAAAGCAGGGAATGTTTTAAGGCAGAAATCATCTCTCACTAACTCCAGGGGTTTGGGTTGTTGTTGTTTATGTACAAATCCTGATGTGGGTATAATCAGGGCTGTGAGCAAGGCTGCCTCAGAGAAGACTTTCCTTATGCTCAGCTGAAGGGCTAAGGAATGTTTGTGTGAATTTTTTTAAAAAAATGTGTGACTGATAAGATTTTGTGGTGACCTGCAATCGATATCCCTGGTGCCAACAAGACCTCAAAGGCCAGAGCATGGTGAAAACAATGGAAAAACTCCCCTGGTTTTCAGTATTCTATGGATCATCCCCTAAACTTTAATCCAGCAGAGACAAAACCCCATGTTTAATTTATAACCCCACTCGAGGGAACTAAGAAGTGCTTCAGGGCAAGTGCCTGTTCAGCGCTTTGAGTGAGCCCCGGGTGAACAGCACCTGCAGGAACGTGTTCTTACCCTCCCAAAAATGCTGCTGCGTTATCCTTTGGCTGCCACGTTTGTTTGCATCCTACTGCAGCACTGTTGGGAATAACGGGATTTATCCACAGGGTATTAAATCGGTAGGAAGAGGAAGCAGAAGCGTAATCCATTTCATCTCTCCCAAAATAGAAGCAGCTAAAACCTTCTGCCGAGTTGTCCAAGGGAGCGTAATGACATCTTTGCATTCGACTAAAACTTGGGGTTCTTTAAAAACAGATTGAGATCAGGGTGCAGTAGTTGAATCAACAGTTTTAGTGATAAGCTAAAAGGTCTGAAACCAATTTTTTACGAATTTATGATTTTATCAACTTGACCGAAAAGAGTAAACTAGCAATCTAGATCTCTCCAAACCCCAAGCACAGAATCTGATTAGTTGTAAGCGTTAATAATTCACTCTCCCAACGGAGATGGCACTGGAAGGACTTCATACCACAAACACCACACGAAAAAAGAACGTCAAGCAAATAACGGCGTGTGCTCAGTACGAGAAAAGACAACTATTTATTTAGCACAGCGAGTTCAGTCAGTTCAGCCTCCTGCTTCGACAAATTCGGGGCTGGGAGAGGGGAACTCGCCCTCTCAGCCTAGTTCTCGCTGGACATTTTTGGCTCGAAAGGAAAGCACTGCACAGCCTGGCACATTAAGGCAGGACAGGAGGTGTTTGCAAGTCAGGGCTGAGGTGCGTTGTGGCATCTACACTGGATCTACCCGACTCAACACTAGACCCACACTTCAAAAAGCGCTACAGCACAGTCCAGTATAGTCTAAAAGTGCCTTATTTTAAAGCAAACAGCCCACACGACTATCCAGGGAGGGGAACAGGGATTTGGAGCTTCTAGGACAGCGGGCACACCGGACATTCAGCAGTTCACTAGCCAGACGTTCTTTGCACTGAGGAGAAACCAGGACTGAGAAGGAATTCAGGCGCTGCGTGGCATGGTGGGAATGGCACAGAAGAGACATCACAGACACTTTGTGTGAATGCAGGGAATGAAGGAAGGGGCATTTCCAGCTTGGCTTCTCTCCCCCTCCCCAGACTGCAGTGATACAACACATATGTATGCACACACACACGGGCAGGATATTCTCGAAGGCAGGGTGGTGTATTCACACACACACACACACACACACACACACACAGAGAGACAGGTGTTTCCAAACTGAACTGCCAAAGAGGTGGTTATCTGGACAGCAGACCCTGAAGTGATCACAGGACGTGGAAGATCCCTTGGGAACAGGACATACCATGTTCAAAAATCCCTTACAAACAGGCAATGCGACGTCTGCTGTGCAGGGTGGGTTCAAATGAGTGACAAACCCAGATGAGGAGCTGCAGCCCCATCAGCACCTCTGTGGTGTGTTTCTGGATGAAATTAGTGGCCTTGCATCCAAGTGCTCTAAGGGCAGGCAGGGTTTGGAGGTGGAGAAATGTTTAAGGCCCATGGTTGGCTGAGAACTGTTTTTTCCCCTCTTCTGTTGGCAAAGGTTAAGTCAAGGAAATAAAAACACTATAGAAAGTGAAACTGGAGATTCAAATGAAGCAGGTGTTTCATTTTCCTCCCCCTGATCTACCTGTGCTGGTCAGGGCAGAACAGACAGATGCTGTGTCTAATGTCACACACTGCTGAAAATAATCCCTAGGCCAGGGCTGAGAGGGAGGGAAAGGACAGGAAAGGCAGAAATATCTCTTGAAAACAGAGGTCACCGTCTGAAAATCACCACCCTGCTTGGCAAAATGTGACTCCAAGCAGGAGGGACTATGGTGTGGAATGGGGTCTCTCCCCGGGGTGGAAAAGGATGTGCCTGGGGCACTTTCAGGATCTGGGCACATCCCGTTCCCACTGTGTCCTCTGCCAAAGCTGTGCTGCAGTCACTGCAAGGGAGCTCAGCAGGGGCTGCTTCTGAGCTTCGTTCTCTCCCATCTCTGCTTTCCAAACACCTTTCCTGTTCCTTTGCTACCATTTGTCCTCTCCTCTTCCCCCCCTCCCCCCAACTCAGAAATAACCTCTGGACATCTGCAAAACAGGACGAGGGGAAATAAGATCTCTAGAGAAAAGTGGTGTTAGAGAAACACCCCACCACGGACCCTTCTGCTTCAAACCATTCCCTTGGCTGGAAGTGACACCCTGCCACCAGGAGATACATCCACAGTGCATGCCAAGAGTGCTTTAGGCTACCAGGATTTTGCCTGGAGCTGTAGCCCTCCTTCCCAAAGCCCCTGTGAACCCAACATGCCCACCCCTGTCTCTGTACAGGTACAGGTGGAGGCAGGCACCAACCTTCAGCTGCACCTTGGTCATCAGAACACAGCATCTGATATTCCCAGAGGCCATGCACCTTTGGGAATATTTTATGAGCCTTGGGAAAAACAGAGTGACAAAGCTCACCATAGGAAAGGTCAGGCTCCATCACCAGACCTTTGGTTTGGGGAAGACTTGCATTCAGCAGATCAAATTTGGAGGTAAATAAGACAGACATGAGCCAAGAGAAGAATTCCCAGATCAGTTACACACTCCCACCATCCTGTGCAGTGACTGTACCAGAGGCAGACACCGCACAGGCAGCACCTGAGGAACATGCACCTTTCTCTGGCCCTGCCCCCCCGAGTTCATACATCCAGCTCAATTAAAGGTGTCTGACAGGTTCTGGAACTGAACTCACTCCTCTTTGCCACAGCCTCTTACTGGCCCTCCCCCTAAACCCTGCCCAGGGGCTGCGGCTGCTGCCGAGCTCCAGATGCCACAGTTCTGACCCCATCTAATCTCTGATTCCCTTAAAAGCAAAATGTAAGGTCTTTTTATGAGACTCTGTTTTGCAGCAGCCAAGAGAAGCCTAATGGACACCCACTGGTGTTAGAAGAGCATCAGCCAAAGCACTTAATACCCTCTCTTCTTCCCCTCACAGGGTCTGGCTTTAGAGCCAAGGTACTCACCCATGAAACCAGGCTGATCCCAAGGGCTGGGAATTTGTTTCCATTTCCAAAGTGTGGACAAGTCACAAATCCCTGCTACTATGACAGGAGGGAGGTAAGAAATCCCCCCAGGGCAGACTAGCCCTTGAACAGGGTTGCCCTGCTGTAAAGCAGGTCAGTGTTACTCTCGTGGGCTCCCAGGTCCTCTCTGCCCCTAAAACCAACTCATGTCTCCCCTTTTCCTGTCTTCCCATCTAATGAGACTACACCCTTCAGTGGGGAAAAAACCTGGTGAAAGGCCTGATCCAAAGCCCCCAAAAAATGAACACAAACAGTCCGTCTGACCTCGGAGGAGCTTGGGCAGAGGCCACAGCACCCTGCAAAGCCCAGCCTAACTTTAGGAAATACTAGATCCAAAACAAAGTCTCTCCATCCCAAACGCTGCCCATATGACCCTGGGGGGAGCCCTGGGATCCTAAAGGCTGCCTGCCAACATGCAAGGAACAGAGCAGGTGGCAGCTGCTGCCGGCCTGGGGTCAGCAGGGGACTCAGCACGGCCCCTCTGGGACTCGAGGGGACACCCCAGGCTCAGGCTCAGCCTCCGCCTGCAGCTTTTCCTCCGGGGCACTTCCCAGCTGGGTGATTAGAGGTGGCTTGATGAGCAGCAGGTACACGAGACACCTATTGGAGATCACACACTGCTGTTTGGTCAGGGAGCTGCCTTCTACCTGCCCTTGCCCCAGGAGCGCTGGGCAAACACCACCCAACACACCGCGGCAGGCGAACTGGGCCCTGGCTCTCCCCTTCCGTCTTCTTTACCACAACCCAACTTAAAACCAAACCAAACAGAAACCAAAACACAAAGTGGGGACTCCAGATGGGACGTAGAACACTTTGGACTTGAAAACAGGGGACTGCAAGAGAGGTGGGGGTGTCTCCCAGGGAGAACAGCGAGGGAGGGGAGGGGACACCGTCATTTACACCGAGGAGAAGCTGTAACCTATACACGGTGGTATAAGCCAAGATATATTACATGAAAGAACACACTGAGTGCATGGAGTTACCCACACTGGGTCAAACTGGCACAGTTGTCTTGAACAAGACCCTTGAAGTTGCAGTTGGTGTTTGTTGTTGACCTATCTAGCTCGCTCTCTATATATATAGCTATGTATAGAATTTCTCTGCATGCATTTGTCTCAAAAGGAGCTGTACAGCTGGGCTGGGTTCCTCATCCCCACCCCGTCTCGGTCTTCATTTTTTCCGGGCTAGGAACGCCACTCCCACAATCACAGCCAGCGCAGCCACCGCCACCCCTCCGACGATGATCAAGGGCTTCATGTTGTCAAAGAAGCTGCCCGGTGACTCCTCGGAGCTGTTTCCCTTGTGGTCAGAGTCAGGGGACTGGCCGGTGGCCTCGTGCGCCTCCGTGCCGGCGGGGTTGGGTTTCAGGTTGCTGTGGTTGTTCACGACGGCGGCGTCGCCACCCGCCTTCTTGGCAGCGGTGGCAGGAGCGGGCTGCTCCTTGGGGACCTCCTTCTTGTCTGCATTCGTGGCAGGCCCAGGGTTGGGCTTTTCCGGCTTTGCGGAGCTGGCGGCCTTGGCGTCGGGTTTGTTTCCGCTTCGGACATTGCCTTTGGAATCCATCCTGCGAGTGCTGTGGGCAGCGACTGGATGCCACGCGCTCGGGGCTGTCCCAGCTCCTCTCCTCTGCCCGGCTGCTGGAGGAAGCAGAGGAGCCACCCGAGCTCAAGCCCTTGGAGCAGCTGTCTTGGGATGATTCTCACGCTGGCACTGTCCTACCTGGACATGATACGGCACCTGGAAGAGGAAGCAGAGCAATGAGAGCTGAGTGACAGGACAGAGAGAGCCAGTGCTGTTCTGCCTGGAGGTGGTGGAGGAGGACAGGAAGGAAAATTGCAAAACTGTTGGCTCTTTCTTTTGGAACTGTGAGCTGCATTCAAAGCATTTACTACAGACTGCATCTGCAACAATCACAGAACCACAGAATGGCCTGGGTTGGAAGGGACCTTAAACCTCATCCAGTCTCACCCCCTGCCATGTGCAGGGACACCTTCCACTAGCCCAGGTTGCTCCAAGCCCCGTCCAGCCTGGCCTTGGACACTTCCAGGGATGGGGCAGCCACAGCTTCTCTGGGCAACCTGTGCCAGGGCCTCCCCACTCTCACAGGGAAGAATTTCTCCCTAGTACCAAACTAGAACATTAAACAAGTCAGACTGTCTGTCATCTATGGCTGCCCCAACCAGGCAAATTGAGACAAGTCCATCCTGGCTGTGTATGTGGTGCCATTTGTCAGCGATGAGAAACTCACATCCAACCAAACAGATCTTACTTTGCATTTGTTTACCCTTACCATTCCTGTGGGGTGAGGAGAGAGCACTTTGTTCCAGGGGAAAGCGGATCGATGGCTCCTCCCTGCTCGTGTCTCACCCTCCACGCTTCCTGTTGCAGCACTGTCCCAAGTTCAGTTTGGGAAGTGGGCTTTGAAGGGTTGCAGAACCACCACAAAAACATCCCCTCCCCAAACCTGGCATGGCAGGGGGAGCCAGGGATGGAGCTCCCGTGGTCGCACCCCCAGGCGATGGAGGAGAGCACACGGCGCTGGGCACTTTGAGCACTTTGCCATCAGGCTCTGGCAGCACCAGGTCAGCTCCCAGCTGGGAAATAATGAGTAAGCAGAGGCAGCAGAGGCAGTGGTGGGATCTGAGCCACTGGCTTCACTGCCTCCCACTGACCTTCAGCGCTGCCAGGAGCCTGCTGGGAGCTTTCTGCCTGCTAAGGGAAATCGGAGCTTATCACCTGTCTGGACTGGGAGCTGGAGAGGCTCCTCAAAAACCTCAACAAATAGAGATCCCTTCCAAAGCGGCTCAGAATGCACATCTCTCCTCTAATGACAGGAAGGAGGTCCCAAGGTTGCAGTCTGTGCTGCTGACTCTTCTGGAAAACAGGCTGACAGATGTGGTGGTTTCATGTCCATCTAGGCAGGAACGCTTTCCTGCAGGAAACCTGCTCACAAAAATGCCAGGTTTGGGTCTAGAGCAAAGCTGGGCATCACTTTATGGCTCAGAATGAGATGGAAACAGCCCCCTCTCCTGCTCTCCCTTGTAAGCCATTGCTCAGTGGCCACCAGCTGCTCCAGCCCAGTCACTGAGGGAACTGCTGCACCAAAATCACGGAATTCCATAGCTCTCATTGAATATCCTAAATTGGAGGGGACCCACAAGGATCTTCAAGTTCAGCTCCTCATGCTGCACCAGGCCTGGTGACCATAAAAACCCCATAGCCTCACTGAGTGCAGCTGGACAGTACCTGCGTTTCTGAGTTTGTGATATTAAACCACTTTGGAAAGCCCAGACTCCACCGCTCTCCCCTCACGAATCGCTGAAGGGGTATCAGACACTTGGGCATCTTGTACCACACAAACACCATCCCAGATGCTCACCAAGCTTCAGACCTTCTCTGTGGCTTGGGACTTGAGAGGTAAACATGGCCAAGTGCAAGAATATTTTCTTCTCACTGCTCATTTTGTAATATTTCTATAGATATCACCTGCCTCACCTTTTTCTACTGCTTTCAGAGAGCATTCCTACTGCTCTGTCAGTACAAATCCTACATGGATCCAGGGCTGAGGCTGCTCACAGTCACTCACAAGGACTCTGCTCCTCTGGTTTGAGACGAATTTAGCCTCATTTTCCACCCAGCACAAAGAGGACACAAAGAAATAGTAAGTGGAGCCCATGACTAAAGCGGGCTCAGAGGTTAAAGCGGGAAGAGTCGGATCGATCGTGGCATAAATATTGAATTACCTGCTTAGTCGCTTTGATATCAATTAGCTGGGCTACTCACACACTCTGATATTCGTGTGGTTATAGCACCTGGAACAAGCATTGAAATTCTGCTCTTTCCCTAGGAAAGCCACGTGCAGCCTATGGAAATGGGGTAAATCACAGAGCAGGCAAACTCACTTTTTTGCTGAGAAATGGGGGCCCTGCACAGCCCCAGTACCCCACAGTTTATCCACAGCCCTCACTGACCCAATTTCCAGGTTCCTGGGAGCAGGAGAGCTGGTTTTGCTCGAAGCCCATGCTGGGCTATGGAGCCTTGTCCTGCTGCCATGCCCTGCACTGCCACAAACAGAATTTCTTGATTCCAAGTGAATTTCCATCTAAAAGCAATGCAAACCCCTCACACAGCTCAGAAAAGGTTTTAAAAGATGTAGAAACCAAACTAAGCCAAAAATCAATATCTCCAGTTCTTAAGTGCCCACATAAAAGGGCTTTTGTCTGTGATTTTCCATCACTGGAATTAGCCACAGGATTGCCCAGCAGCTCTCCAGACCCTTTGGCCTGACTCCTCCTGCTCCTCAGGACA